TAGAATGTTAACACAAATCAAATTTATTGAGCATCCAGTATGTGCTCATTGTTGCTGCAGCTAATGGAAGAATCTAAGCGTGACTAAGACATTGAAGGTTGTTTATAGTATAAGTTTTTTTGTTTAGTGAATCAGACTTTGGAAAATATATCAGATCCAAAACTTACTAGCATTAAGACTAGACGAATTATTTAATCTCATGGAGAATCTGTTTTATTATCTGTAAAGTTGGGGAAATTATATTTATCTTATAGTATTATTTTGAAAATTAAATGAGATCCTGAAAATAGAGTACCTCCTAGAGTAAGGGTTCAGGTATGCAATGAGTAAATGCCAGCTGTTGTCATAATTATTCATTCATTTAGGAACTTTTATTGTGCTCTTACTATATTGTCACCATCATTATTATTAACATTGTTATTGTTTATTAAATATAATTCTTATCCACAAATAACATATATCCAGTGAAGAATATGAGTCTTAAGGCAATTGTAACAATTTTATGACCACATTCATTATTTTATTTGAATATAGAAACTATCATAAGGAATTACATCTTCAAGGTAAAGACAAAGCAATGTGGAAGTATAGATAAAAATTATTATTCTGACTGGAATATTCAGAAAGGCTTCAAAGAGAAGGTGATAATTGAGTTTGATTGCAAAAGAGCAGTGGGATTTCAGTAGCAAAGAAACGGAAGGGAGGTTGGGATGGAAAAATGTCCAAGTCAGAGAACACAAAGACGAAGATGTAAAGACTTCAAGAAATGTAGAACTGCTGTTGTAACTGGACAACAGACAATCATGCTATAAATGAGGAGTACCTCCCATGTGTCAAGCATTGAGGATATACTCTTGAAAATGACTACAACAATTTTTTCCTTCCCTCCTTCCTTCCTTCCTTCCTTCCTTCCTTCCTTCCTTCCTTCCTTCCTTCCTTCCTTCCTTCCTTCCTTCCTTCCCTCCCTCCCTCCTTCCCTACCTCCCTCTTTCTTTCCTTCCTTCTTCCTTTCCTTTTCCTTCCCTTTCCCTTTCCCTTTCCTTTTCCCTTTCCTTTCCTTTCTTTCTGATGGAGTTTCACTCTTATTGCCCAGGCTGCAGTGCAATGGCGTGATCTCGGCTCACTGCAACCTGTGCCTCCCAGGTTCATGTGATTCTCCTGCCTCAGCCTCCCCAGTAGCTGGGATTACAGCTGGCTGCCACCTCTCCTGGCCAAATATTTGGATTTTTAGCAGAGACAGGGTTTCACCATGTTGGCCAGCCTGGTCTCAAACTCCTGACCTCAATTGATCTGCACTCCTCGGCCTCCCAAAGTGCTGGGATTACAATAATTTTCACTTTCATGGTGTTTATAATACACTAGATGATGTGACCAAGGAAGAATTGGACCCAGGTCATAGATGACCTAAATATGACCTTAAGATGTTTTAATGTTCTACTATGAACATTTATAAGGAGGAATTAAGTATTGAAGGCTGTGTGTCAGATAGAGTAACCGACTGGCCACTCATATAAAAATGAACTACTGCATTGTGGATGCAGAGAGGCTAACACTGAGAGACAGTAGTCATCCTGACAAAAAATGAGGAAGGTGAGCACTAAGATAAAGATAAGTAACATGAACAAAGAGAATTAAGATTTTGTAACAGAGTTGTTAGAACTGATGAGATACAATGATGAGGGAAGGAGAGGAATTGAACATGATCTTGAGGACTCTACTCTTGGAGGCTTAAAGGAATGTGTTGTCTGTATTTGTCACAGGGAACCAGGAAGGAAGAACCAGTTAGGGTCAAGAGTTAGAACATGTTAAGCTGAATAGGTTTTGAAACTCAGACTTGCCCATAAAGCCGTTAGGAATTGGATTATTTTGTTTGGAAGAGGTCAGAACTAGTCAAGAGATTTCTTAGTCCTTGGTAAAAATATGGTGTGAAAACCCTAAAAGGGATGAGTTCATAAATAGAAAATAGAATTAAAAGAAAACATCAGAACTTTACAGAACAGCTTGTTCATAACTTTAGGAGTTATATTATAGATGGTTCTATAGAAACACAAACTCCTTCATTTAGATTTAACAATCAACAATCAGTTCTTTGTTATGAGAGGAGGAGACCATTCAAACACCATGCTGCTTCTTTTCCTGCTATTTCAAAATGTCTTGGTTTCTTCATAGATGACTAGAATTCTCATGAGCAGGGAGGTGGATGAATAGAGACTGTTTCTGTTCCCAGAGAGTCACTTTGGAGGATGCTGAAATTATGGATGAATTGAAGACACAGATTCACCGTAAAGCTGAAACAGCTAAAGTGTCAGGGCCTGCCACTTGCATAGGCCTCTTACAAGACACTACAAGGAATTATAAACGTGCTTGTGGACAAATGTTTTTGCAAATTTGGCAAAAGTTAGTTATTTAAACTTTCATTAATTCAGAGTTCTGTCTCTATTCAGATTTCCCCTCCCTTTTCCTTCCCTTCTTATTGGGTAGTTCTGGAGAGGCTACTGGCAATGTTTTGGGGGACGTTGAAGTAAGAATACATTTAGTTTAGGTTTAGTGGAATATATGTCTACATTTTTTATAAAACAGCTTTATTGAAGTAAAATTGACCTACAAAAACCTGCATATATTTATACAACTTGATGAATTTGGACATAGGCATAGCCCCATGAAGCTGTCACCACAATTAAGGTAATAGACAAACCCATCAAGTCTAAAAGATTTTTTTGTGGCCTTTTCTTTTGGTTGTTGTTGTTTTAAGAAGACTTAACATGAGATATGCCCTCTTAATACATGTTTAAGTGAACAATACAGTGTTATGAACTATAGGCACTATGTTGTACAGCATGTCTCTGGAACTTATTTTGCATAAGTAAAACTTTATGCCTATTGAATAGCAACTTTGCATTCCCTCTCTCCATTTCCTGACAGTCACCATTATATTCTCTGCTTCTATGAGGTTGACTATTTTGAATACTTCATGTAAGTGGAGTGTTTGTCCTGGAACTGGCTTATTTCATGTAGCATATTGTTCTCCAGGCTCATTCATTTTGTTGCAGATGGCAGAGTTTCCATCTTTTTTAAGGCTGAATAATATTTTTAGTCATTCTGTATATTGTTGGTATTGCTGGTCACCCAGTTTTTGGCAGAAATGCAGCATATTTTGTTGCATTGTCATGATAATTTGTCTTTTTGCATTTCAATTAACATGGGAACTCATTCCATTCAGAAGACTGAGCCCCAGCGTCATTTTTCCTTTCAGACTCAAAAGTTTATTTTTATGGGGAAATAGACAGAAGTTACTATATCACCTTTAATTGGTGCGATTGTTTCTTATACAGAAAATAATAATCGTAGATAACATTTACTAAATGCTTGCCACTTTTAGCTACTTTCAACTACATTTTATAAGTGAGGAAACTGAGACAGAGAGAAGTTAAATAAGTGGCAGATCTGGAATCCAAAGCCAGCACTCAGGTTCCCATCAGTAACTTAAACCACCAAGGAACCCTTACTCTCTGTCGCTGAGTTGGAAGCCAGAAGTCCCTGAGTGTAAAATCCTTGGGGTTTTAGACAAAGCAGTTAACTTCTAATGATCTTCAGGCTTCTTATCAGATAAATGGACAAAGCAGTTAGCTTGTAATAGTCTTCAGGATTCTTATCAGATAAATGAAGGTGGACTAGAACATAATGTTGGTAACTTTGGGGTGATCTCATGACCCTTTGAGAAAGCTGTGATCCCTTTCCATGACATAGAACAGACATAATTGTGTAATTAACAAACATTCTTGGACACCTTGAAACCAGTGTCTTAGCCCTAGGTTAAAATCCCCTGAACTAGAAAATATTTGAATTTCTTACAAATCTAATATTCTGCTATCTTAAGAAGAGCTGACTTCTAGTTTATTAGTGACTTTTTAAACAGGACACAGTTAACTATTAAGTGATTTTCATGATATGCCTTATTGATGGGTTGGTTTGTGTTGTATTCTTGTGATCTTGCATTTTCTGAATGCTGCTGACATCTTTCGCTTGAAGACTTTTTTTATTGAAAGAAAATTTTTAGATGCATCTGGATTGAACTGCTCTGAAGAAGTTACGGTGTTTACCTGAAGCTAATAAAATAATTTATGTTTTCCTAGTAAATGAGATCTGAAGAACAACCAAAGTGTCAATAGCAAAATCAATTTGACAAGGATCTACTATGAAATTAGGTTTCTCAAATAAAATGTAGTTTAACAAGAGACCATTCACTCTGTCTTCCTTCTCATGGGGATACTTTGCATTAGAATGTAAAACTGATGGCATGTTTTGAAGTCATAAACTTAGTATGTATCAAACTTCATGGCTTTCAAGATCAAAGGATTAAGTTTCAATTTAAAAGTATGGATTTTTTGTTATAAAAACAAAGTGTCTTACTAGAAAACAGAACAAGAAACATTTTATGTATTCTTTCTATGTCACCTAAGGAAATTGCAAAAGCATCCATTTGAAGTTGTGTAAGATTTAGTATACACAATCAGGAAAGTACTCTGTATAGATTTTTAAAAATGTACTAGCACTCTTCTGCCCTTGAGTCAAAATATCTAATATTTTGGGGTTTTTTCTATGTAAAATTTGGTTGAAAGATTGTTCATTATTGTTGAATTTCAACATGATTGCAAATTAAATGATGCAAAACTCAATAAAGTAAAATACACAAAAGAACAATTAACATGTTATCTCAGTAAGTATATAGAATAATGAGAGAACACACTGTTCTACACTGTAGCATAGAATTAAGATGTCATAAATCAGGAAAATATTATATCTTGTTTAGGTGCACAGGTGGCTTTTAGAAAGATTGATTAGCTCCTCTTTCCCCCTTGAGATGTGAGTTCATAGTTATTCCTGCAAAATTAAACAGAGTAATTCCTCATACTTCCTACAGTAGGTATGCTTCAATGCAAACAGCATGGCGGAGATAAATGTTTGCAACGTGTTCATCTCCTTGTCTGTTTCTATTCCAGATGCTCTCTATGATGTCATCACTGTGGGAGCTCCAGCTGCCCATTTTCAGGGATTTAAGAATGGTGGTCTTCGGAAACTACTCCATAGATTTGAAACAGAAAGAAGAAAGTAAGTAAAGACAGGAGGAAAGCACAGATTCCATTAATAACATCTCCCCTTTGAGGAAGTCTATATACAAGATTAGAATACAGAAGATTGGTCCATCACAATGTATAGTTCTTGACATCTTAACCTATTTAGTAACATGGAGTTGTTAAATATCTCAAAACTACCAGAGAAGAAATTAGATTAAACAAATTGCGTAAGTGTCTTCCTTACTGAGTGGCATTGTGATGGCAGAAAATTTTCGGGAAGTCATATGACTAAGGGCTGATATTCTAGTGTCAACTATTGCTTGCTCAAAGGAAGTGTTCAGAGATTTAGCTAGAAATACAGTCTAACTTAACTGTGGAGCCAAAGATACTGAATAGAGAATATGGCTCCTAATTTATGGTTTTTACCCTACTAGTAATTTCTATGCTGACCTCAGGCTCATTTAATTGTGCCACTTGAAAGAGACACAACAATACAGAATTCTGTGTTCTGTTCCTTAGGGGAAAGGCATGAGTATTACCACTATTATTTGTAATTTTATTATACTCTTTCCCCAGTTTTGTTTTTAGATGCTTTAAAATATTGCCTTATAAAGCTTTTGCAGCAGTAGTTTATAGTTCTGCCCCATGTCTCATCAGTTGAGCTTATCCTATAATATTCTCTGTCTATGACCACGCTCATGTAAAACATAAAGCGCATTATCCAGGTATGAAGAATAACTACTTTCCTTTTCAAATAGTTACTTGTCTTAAGTTAAGAATCTCAATTTTTTTGGTTTTAGATTCCAAGGGTATGTGTGCAGGGGTTTTTTTTTCCCCCACAGTAAATTGCATGTCACAGGGATTTGGTGTACAGGTTATTTTGCCACCCAAGTAATAAGCATAGTATCTAATAGGTAGTTTTTCAATCTTCACCTTCCTCCACCCTCCACCCTTAAGTAGGTCCTGGTGTCTGTTGAAGAATCCAAATTTTGAAAATTAGGGAAAAATACTCATTCTTCAGTCACAGTTGATTTAGTAATAGTATTAGAAAATCGGTTTGAATGCCAAAACCAGAAAATTTTTTAAAGTTTTATCACGTTTGTCAAATATAAAATTTGTTTTTTAGTGCCCAGATGTTTAGGAAGAAAGCATTTAAAGGAGGTGAGAGTTGAATAATTGACTTACTATCATATGAATATATAAACTACCAATACACATATATTTTTCTTTTTTCCTTTCATGGAATTGACTTTGGTACAATATTAAGTCTGTTATGGTTCTTACTATGATTTTTCTAGTTTTTTGTTCATTTTTGTTTGTTTGCTTTTGGTGGGTAAAGGTTTATAGTTTTATAAACTTATATTGCATGGGTAGATTAGAGTAACCATCACTATTATAAATATCATATAGAACTGTTTCATCACCACAAAGAAACTCCCTCAGGTTACCCATTAATACTCACACCCTTCTCACAAATATTATTGCAGTTGGGAGTGGAAGTCAAAGTTTCAACCATGGGCTCTCCAGGGGAGAGGCGACTCCTGTTTACTTTATGGGAGTTGGAAGTTAATTCACACCACAGGCTCCATGGGGGAAGGGATGCCATGCCTACTGAAGTGGAGGTATGGGTGGAAGACAGGGTTTTGCCCATGGAATCGAGTGGGGATGGAGGGTGTTTCTCACTGATTCCCTACTGTACCATTCTTCTAGTGGAGAAGGGACATGACGTTTTTGTGGTATTCACTTCCAGAACAGGTTAGTATGTCTGGGCCACCCTGTTCCAGGTTCTTTGGCTTTTCCTGGGTGCTATTTTTTGTTGGTTCTTTGCTGCATTGAAAAATTCTGTGGCACCCAGTTTGGGACATTATAGGAGGCAAAAAAATCCCATGGAACTCACTGTCATATCATTCCTTAAGTCCCGAGGTCCCTAACTAATATACCTTTTTAGTCTACCTTTTGGAGTTTTTTGATAGGTGACGTATATGTTTTATCTAGGATGTTTCATTGTGATTGACAGGGGAAATAAAATAGATTGCATTTACTCCATCTTGTCTGGAACTATGTCTCAGCCTTGAGAGTTGAGAGTTGACTTAATCTATTTTTTTTTCTTCAATTAAATTTTAAAGTGTATAACTCAATTAGAAGACTCAAAACTGCCCACAGGGCGGTCAGAATCCAGCTGAGCATATAAAGCATCAGTATGTGAAATATGGAACCTAACCCTATAATTTTATAAAATATATTTCTGTCAAAGACAACTGTTGAGTTCTATGGTTAGACTCTAACTAATATTTCTTAAGGTTTAAATATTTGCATAAATATTTGAATCCTTCACTTTTCTTCACTTTTTACTGTGCTGTTACATATCAACACACACACACACACACACACACACACACACACACAGATCTTCGGTTACTTTTAAGATAAAAGTAGAAGTGTGTTCAGTGCTTACAAACACTGATTGCTTTAAATGTTTTATTTGTATTTCATTGCTTTATTGATAAAATACAATAAATATTTTAAAAGAAATAAAAAAGAACTTTGTGGATCTTAAAAGAATTCTCCATAGGGCAGTGGTTTGGGACAAATAATGCTTGCTGAGGCAATATACTGTTGAGCATGACTATCAGCCTACCCGTTAAATTAAGAGCTAACTTGAGCCGAGATTTAATGATTACAGAGTTATCGCACCATGCAATACATTTTCTGCAGGCTTTTTCAGCAACAAATATTGCATTTGTCAGTCAACAGCAATGTATAGAAGAATGACTATATGAAATGAGTAATTTGGGCTTTAGGTTAAAGTAAACAATGATGTTTTGCAGGACATGAAATCACAAGTGAGGAAATTTTTCTTTGCCTCGTCTTTCATTTGATATTGCCGCCAACCAAAAAAAAAAAAAAAAAAAAAGATAGCCAACTCTTTTAGGCCAGGTTTTTTTGGAAATACCACAGTCATTGTACTATTTCACCTTCATTTATTTTTTTTCTCATCTAAGCCAATAAAATACTGTCATCTGAGAAAAGATATAATTTATGTTTATGTCCGTTGATGATCTCTTTTGTGATTAATACAATGGCCACAAAATGAAAAGGATTTTAGCATAAGAACATTGCTTATAGTATTTATATAAAGCAATTCAGGTCACACAACCATATTTATTAAAAGTTATAAGATAATTAGGGAGATTGAACTTTTAAAGCACAGTATCTGAGTACCTTACTCTTGTGCTTAGAAACTTTGAGGAGTCTATGCTTATCCATTGGGCATTCAAAGCACCCATGATTTTCCCACCAATGTCTACCCTCATCACCCACTTCTATTGTTGTTTCTAAAACGCTGTATAAACTATTTCCTAGATGGGCTTCATGTATTTCTACCTTTTCCTTTTTCCTTGTTCTGTTTCCTTTTATAAGAAATTATTCTGTTCTCCTCATTTTCTACTATTTTTCATTTATTTCTGTGAAAGCCATTTACATAATCCTACTCAAAATTCTACACATGGTCCATGTGAAAATTTCACCCCTGTAATTAGGCTTTCCTGATTTTTCAAGTTGATTTTGCTCCCCTCCCTAATATTTTATTTTTACTTCTCTTGTAGCCTTACTAGGCCAAAGTAATGTATTAAGGTTTTTCTTGTGTGATGTTTCTGTAATACATTATGCTTTCCTTGAATAAGAGATGGAGTGCCTTGTGTATATAAGTATCATGTAGATCAAATACACAGGCATTGGAATTCACATATAAATCAGATATAGTTGCTGACTTAAAAGCTAAAAACCAGAATTGGAGAAAAGATTTCACAAATAATCATAATGCAATAAGATTAATAATATAGAGAGCAGGGGTTACCAACCTTGGCTGCACACTAGAATCACCTTTGGAGCTTTGAAACCTTTTGTTTATAACAGGATATCACCCCAGAAAAATTAAGTGAAAGCCTTTGGTAGTTGGGCCCAGGGATTGATACATTTTAAAAGCTTCCCAGATGAGCCTAATCTGTAGCCAGAGTTGAGAACTACTGATATAGCTATGAGCGAATAGTGCTATCTGAAGACAGATAAAAGGTTTGGAGAATAAAACCAGAAATACTTACACAAATGAGTTGAACTTGAAAAACTATATAGAACTTCAATTGGTATATATCAAGAGGAAAGGAAATCTAAGTAAAAGAATATTTATTGAGATATAAAGTATTACAACTCACTTACTGGAAATTTTTGTTTGGAGAATCCTAAACTCATTAGAGAGTTGTAAAATGGAACTGAATGTGAGGGTAAAGCTATAAGAATTTTGATCTTGGACAATCTGGACTTGAGTAACATTCAGACACACATAATTGAACATATCATAGAGGATTTCATACTGAAAACTTGATATCTTTCTAAGAGAACCAAAATTCTAATTACACATTTTTTAATAGACCCAAATCAGGATGTTTGTGACTTATGTATTCTCTTGTAACATCAAACACTTACTTGTACCTGGTGTCAGTTGATTTACTTCAACACCATGTGAAAGTTCGTGGATTTCTCCCTCAGAATATAAATCAAGTTTTTACTTTTAGTATTGTTTAACAGAAAGGAAAATTTATTCCTACAACATATATTTTGCTTTCTTTAAACTTTTTTTTTTTTTTTTTTTTGAGATGGAGTGTTACTCTATCACCTAGGCTGGAGTGCATTAGTGCCATCTCCATTCACTGCAACCTCCACCTCCTGGGTTTAAGTGATTCTCCTGCGTCAGCCTCCCAAGTAGCTGGGATTACAGATGCACACCACCATGCCCAACTAATTTTTATATTTCTTTGCAGAGATAGGGTTTCAACATCTTGCTCAATCTGAACTCCTGGGTTCAAGGGATCTGCACACCTTGGCCTTGCAAAGTTTTGGGATTACAGGCATGAGCCACCACACTCAGATTTTTTTCCCTTCCCTTCCCTTCCCTTCCCTTCCCTTCCCTTCCCTTCCCATCCCATCCCATCCCATCCCAGAGTTTCGCTCTCGTTGCCCAGGCAGGAGTACAATGGC